GGTCCCAAACACCCCGATACCGCCGCCTCCTACAACAATATCGGTAGTGTACTGAGGGCCATGGGGGAGTATAAAGAGTCACTTGATTATCATTATAAAAGTCTTAAATTGACAGAAGAGATACTTGGTCCCAAACACCCCGATACCGCCCTCTCCTACAACAATATCGGTGCTGTACTGCAGGACATGGGTGAGTATGAACAGTCACTTGATTATCACAAAAAATCTCTTGCATTGATAGAGGAGATACTTGGTCCCAAACACCCCGATACCGCCACCTCCTACAACAATATCGGTAGTGTACTGAGGGCCATGGGTGAGTATAAAGAGTCACTTGATTATCATGATAAAAGTCTTGAATTGAGATTGGAGATACTTGGTCCCAAACACCCTGTTACCATAAGGACGGTCAATATTATAGAAGATTTAACAAAAAAGTGTCATCAGAACAAATTTAGAAAACAGTGCTGCTCAATAGTCTGATTTCCCTTTTCCCATGGCATTCTGTGAGATAATCAGAATGTATACTGATTGAACCATTCAACAAATAATTCAGTGTGTGTCAAACGGCAATCCACTTTTTATGACTCCATTTCTAAAATCATTCTATTTCTATTTCTGTATGAGACAACGATATTAAGGCAATTTAAGACTGGGTCCTAACCCAACGTACGATCTGCTACGCCTGGTCTACGGACAAAAAATTTGGTAAATTTTGGTAAATTGTGCAACTTTTAGAGGGCGCAGACAGCACGCAGAACTTTTTCGACATGCGGTCTACGAAATCTAAAAAAATGGAACACTTCGCCTCTCGTGCGCTTTAGTACGGGCCACGGGAGGAAATTCCTTTCCACTGAGATTGGTGAGTGGGATGCACGTGGTTAAGAAGCAAGGTAACAAAAGTACTTATTTCTTGCTCACTCCGTACTCACTTCGCACTGCAACGCGCCCACCGTATGGATCTCCTGGGCTTCGCACATGTTGAATAAGTAGTGGGCACTTTATGCGCATGGATCGTGAGTTTAAAAGGAGGATCGTTCACGAAAAAGCATCATTTCAGCCTTACATTTCTAGTTTTAAAAATGCCTAAAAAGACAACAAAGAGCAGGTTGGGGAGAGGGGGACCGGGGACAAGCCAGGCATGATTGGGTTCACCATCTTTGAACACTGTTGCGGATATAATGATGTCCTCAAACATTCACTGTTTTTATACCCTTCCAAAAACATCTCAACACGCAAGACTCTCGTGCAGAGGACGAACAACAACCGTACGAAGTCAGCAAGACTGCTCTACGTCTACTTGCGTTCCCCTTGCGTTGCCCGTACTCCTAGTACGGATAACGTACACAGTGCACGATGCTTGTACTTAGCATGCACGGGGCGCGCGGGACACTTGCGAAAGCCCGTCAGGCGCTGCAGGTACTTCTGACGCGCGGAGGCTGTGCTTCTTACGTACTTTTCACCCACTTTCTTCTTGCGAACTCCTTGCAATCCCCAATTTCTTGATTCCTTCCCTGCTATCTCGCTACGGCCCAGCCAGACGCGAGGAACCTAAAAAACGTACGTCCGGCAAACGGTGCTTTTAGTTGGGTCCCAGGCTTAACAACGACAAAATTTACCTCAACTAGTCAAACACATGTCACACTATTATCTAAGTACAGTTCCCATATAGCCTCGATCACAACCGCAAGTACGAATTTTAGGATCGTACGTCCCCTACGCATTTTGGATGCAGTGGAGGCCATCGGTGTCGTAGAGTTAGAGCAAAGGTGCAAGGGGGGCAGTGCGATATCCTTTCATGCAGGGATGCCATTGCCATAAAAATTGTACTCATTTCTTTAGTTTGTCTTGCAGCCTGCGTCACTTTTGCGCCACACTTTTCCTTTTTCTTTTCTGTAATAATTCATCACCTTTTAAAATTTCTCTTTTGCTAGTAAAATATTCTGTCTATATTGCCAAAGATCTTTTAGTGCGTGACAAAATTTACAGTCAACATGCCTGTACACTCTCTCTCTCTCTCTCTCTCTCTCTCACACACACACACACACACACACACACACAAAAAACACACACACACACACACACACACATTGCTGATATTAAATGCAAGGGGGTTTAAGCCGAGTTATTCATAGACTATGTGAATGTAATTGATATTTCTCAAACGTCAAGTGAATATGAGAATTTTGGTCACAATTATTTTCCCAACGCATCCATGGCTGTTTATCACCGTTCTTTGTGGGTTTTCGGCTTTTTGTGTTCTCTAGTAAGGGGCAAATATATCACGTGAATTATGATAGATAGTAAGCGTGCTAGAGGAGAAATGTCTGACAAAGTATCATCATTCTGCAAGTACATGTATAGTAATCTATATACATTGCATGTTATCGCATAGAGAACTGTTTCATTTGTAATCCGTGTACAGGGTAGCATTTTGCAGACGCAATTTTAAATATAACAGGTGAAAGGTAAACTTTAATTTGACATACGATTTAATACCGTACCCCTTTGTTTTTTATGTTGGGATGTAAACGTGTTTTTTTATCAAAATCCAACTGTATCCATTGCAAATATTTCATATGTAAACTTTGAGAAAATTTTTAAAATATATTTGCTACATTCCATTACATAAAGAAAAGCAGAGTGAAGGAAGAAATGTATCACATGAATTGTGATAAGCTTTTTCTCGTATTCTAGATGAGATATCTGTATAAAATCATAACAAGTGTTCCTTTTACATTACTATATCAACCAAATGAAAATAGTTTTATGTGTAGCCAGCACAATATAGTGTGGAGCCAGTTAATAACGTATCAGTTGTATTCGTTTTATTAACTATTTATACTAGTGTAGATATCATTTCCAAGGTTTGTTTTATTTATAGTAATGGCCTACTGGGGTCTAAGGGCCCATTCCAATAACCCTATCGTACTAGCAGGAGCGATCTGTCTCCGAGTGGATTCTCTCTAAATTACATTCAGTTTAAGCGTGCACAAAAGTTGATAACCCCCTTAGCAGCTTCAGTAGACGTGCCAGGCTTTTAAGCTGCTTAAACTGAGTGCAATTTAGCGAGAATCTCTTCTGAATTAGATCGAAACTGCTAGTACGATAGGGTTATGGGAACCCAGTCAAAGCCATGTAATAACTTGTACAAGAGATGTCGTGATTATCAGAAGCCAGTATATCATGTCATGTGTTTTTACCATATCAATGTGGTATCTGATGCGAAATAAGGTTATCCACTAGTACTATTGTAATTTACCTAAAGAACATGTATCGTTGCATGTTGCAGAGGCTGTTTATGTATTTTGAAGACCGTATTTTATAAATACTACATACTAACGTTTCTGATGTTTGTAATTTACGAATATGTGTTGTCGTCATGTTCAGTAAATGTGATTATCTTATTTAATGCTGTAAGTGACTAGTTATTAGTAATACTTAGCATTTAAAATACATCTGTGACATTATATGTACAATGCCTTGGTGCAAATCATCTTGTATTACTACTAAATGGTATATTTTGCCATTGTGTACAAGGTGTTATAAATTGTAAAATATGATAATAAAAAATGCATTGTATGAAAATGATTTTTTCATTGATTGACAACAGGTGTTTCGCTTATGCTGTGCATAAGTTGTAAAATATACATTATTTGAGAACAAACCGGGGGACTCGAAAATAACATAATGGCCATTTTAAAGAACAAACAAAATTTGAAACGAAATCATAGACAAATTGTAGCGTGATCTTTTGAATGGCAAAGGATAGACGAAGATACTTCATCAGTGAGGCCAAAAACACTTCATCAATGAAGCGGTCGACTTCTTTTTACCGCGTATTTTGCAGTAAAATCATTTGCCCCACCTTTCAAACGAGCTTTCCGTGCATTCTTTTCCGTTAAATGATTTAGAGAGATTAGAAAATAAAATTCAGAGAAGGATAAAAAAATCTTCATTGTAAACAATCTGAGGATAGTTTTGAACTCCAAAGTCCTATTTCACTTTAAACGTGCCATAAACAACAAAAAACAAAAAGAACATCTATTAGAAGAATAGATTGTTTGAAAAGTTAACCTTTGTATACCTCACTCCGCGTCTGGTGTCATATTGTGTTGGTGGTGCTTGATGACACACTGACCCCCACGCGGTTGTTTTCTAGATGACGAGGGTGCAAATATTGGTCGCCAGGTATTCTAGAGAATCTAAATAGCGACGAAAGCGGATGCATTCTCCTGCGCACACCCGCAGGATTTTAAACTCTAAGGTTAAACAACCGATGCGATTTTTATACACATAGGCCTACCAGACAGATGCTCTGAATATTTGAACTTTCCTCTTGTCATTTCTGCTATGTAATCGGTATCGGTATAAGATCATAAAAGGTTTTACATTATGGTTAGCTTAGAGGAAACGTAAGCACCTTTTGACTGTTTGAAGGGACGTGTAAAACTGGCAGTCGGGTTAATGAGGAGACATAAAGTATGTATAGGTTTGAATGCGGTGAAAAAGCTCTATGTAGTAGGCCTAGTAAAAAGATCGATCTCTCTTCCTTTTTTAAAACTTTCTTCTTTTTAAATTTGTAAGCTCCATTAGATCTCAATTGAAAGAGTAGTTGAACAATTTAGCGTCTAGTTTGTAAATTCCCTTCAATTCGTTGAGATCTGGAGTGGACACGTTGGCGAAATAGGACCTCCAAACTCCTGCAGACGACACAGATGACATGTCACCATCCGGGTACTTGAACTTATCAGACACGTGCAACAGTTTAAGCAACATGCTGACGTCACGTTGGATAGTTTCGTATCAATTCGTATCAATGACGTCATATTTGATGTCACATGGATTACACAACGCGTTATAAGTTCTCCAGTGCGGGTTGAACGGTTTAGTAGAAAGCTGAGAATAGACATTAATGTATTTGACGAACGCAGCAAATGAAAATCGGTCCCCTTCTTGCGGCGCGCTCTTCATTCCCGGAGATCTCATGAACGGTTTGATATAGGCCCCAATTTGACGTGAAAAAGCGCTGAGTTTCTCTAATTTGTTCCTGTAAGCAGACACAAGTCTTTCAAATGGATGCCTCACAAGAACAACTTTCAGATAGTTTGCAAGACGGAACTTGATCCCAAATTCGGAAAAGTCAGACAGGGGCACCAAAAACTTCTGATATTTATAGTGCACTTCATACGCCCCAATGTCTTTGTATTCTGTAATATCTGCGTTGGCCGTGAGCCCATACATCAAACGTTTAAAGTTCGTACAGCCCACTTTTGGTATTTCACAGTATATCAGACTGTGTCTGTCGTCTACCCACAGAAATGGTATACTGCTTGCGTTTGTGGCAAGTGCTTTTTTGGTATTTTTTGGACATGCGTCTTGTAGAATTTGTCTCCTTGCTTTCATTATATTTTGCCAACTGAATGGCACTTCCGCCCACGAAAAGTACTGAAAATGAAAAAAGCTGAAGAGTGTCATTTTCGTAAAAGATGTACTGCAGCATAGACCTATAGCGTTCGTCAATCTTATCATACGCAGTAGTGTACGTATGTTAAGGAAACACGCATGTTACTTTGCATTTTATAAATAATTATTCGACTTAATCTACATCTATAGAAATATAATTAAAAGCATACCCGACCACTTAACCTATTCAGATTATTGGACTGCATTAGCTTCTTCATGGAGATCGTGTTTTCTGAAAACAAGACAATAGATCTGTTCTCCTATAAGGACAATGTTTTCAATATTCATCAATTAGCTTTAGGTCAAGAAGGCCATTGAGCGAAAA